GAGCGGCTTGTGGAATCGAGCGTCTACATGGGGAATGGCTGGTTGTGATTTGCTGCCCAAACCTGCGAAGACGTTCAAATCGACAGGGATGGGTAATTATGTGGCATCAAATCACACCCGAGGGTATCGTTCAACCCCATTTACTGATCTACGACTTGGTAGCGTTCATTCGAACCAGTCTCGTTCACACTGTTTGGCGCTGGGTACACGCACACGCACAGACACACACACACACACATGGGGAGTGGCTGGTTTTGGTGTGTGATGATGCCCGTGATGTGACTGATGCATGTCTCGCGGGCATGCTTGTGCAATCGAGCATCTACATGGGGGTTTCCGAAAATAGGGACCCTCATATAGGACCCTCAATTGTAGGATCCTTCAAGGACCCGGTACCCTAATTTTCGGAAACTCCCACATGGCGAATGGCCGGTTTGGACGTGCTGTGATGCCACTGATGAGTGTCTTGTATGTGCACTTGTGAATCGAGCGTCTCCATGGGAGATTGGCTGGTTTTGACGTAGTTGAGTTGGTGTTGCTCCCAAAATCAACCTCGGTACGTGGACTGCGTTTGCAGCCAAAGAAAGGATCAAAATTGTCGAAACCAGGGCATCGATTCATGCGACGGGAAAACGCAGCGTCTACTTGGGGATTCGGTTCCAAAATGTGCTCTAGAATGCAATGAAAAGTACGTGAAACCCCACATGCGCGACTTGAAGACTGAAGCGCAGCGTCTACATGGGGACTGGCATCTGCTGATGTGTATTCTCGCCGTTGATGTGTAATTCCTTGAAACAGCGTCCACACTGGGGTGATGTGTATTCTCGCCGATTGATGTGAGATACACGCGACGCGTGTAACATCGAGGCTGGACACCAACAAAAGAAGGGAAGGAGGGAGCTAGGGAGGCTGGGAATGTGGGGAAGGTCGGCTGGACCAGGTTTTGACAGTGACGGTAGTGAAGGTGCATCGGGAGTGCCGCAAGCGAATGTAACTGTCAGGTTGCCGGGGACGTTTCTCGGAGTGGTGTCCACGGAGCGTCAGAAGCCGCCCGGCTACAACACTGAACAGCGCCGAACTTGAGTCGTCAGCAATAATCAGATGTAGATCATTTGTGGAGCTCAGCTGCCGAATTCCTTCGGACCTGCCTCTAAGCACGACGATTTCGCCTGACATACGGGCGAAATTCCATGCGAGGCTGCTAGCAGCGTGCGCGAGCGGAGCCCTCAGCAAATTGCACAGGCTTAGACAGCGTAGGTCAAGACTTCCCGCACTGACCTTGACTGATGATACGCAATGTTACTCCTGTCTTGTAATATATATATATATATATATCATCATAACGTCGTCGTTATGCAACACGATGTGGTCAAAGCACGAGCACCTGCCTTCATCGGGCAATTTCATTGACCCAAGGTCGGACATCTTCGCAATCGCGCAGAGACACACTGGGCTTCCTGAGTCCAAGACGCCTGGCCTCCAGCTAGGGAGGATCTAAGACAGACTTCCAGAATCATCTACTCCCTGCCTCCCTGCTGCCACTCATACTGTAGGCCAGCCTTCCGACACTCCAAAGCGTAACGAGATCGACCGCATACCGCAGCTCTCTCAAACCGTATATTATGCTGGAACCCGGCCCGGCGCATCAGGCTCCCTTGTTCTCTTCTCGGGTCACTTGCTTCACTTGGCCACGTCACACCATGCATAGAGAGATAGAGAGAGATAGAGAGAGACAGAAACCATAAAAATTACTCCTTAGGCCTTGCATCCTTGTCTCTTGGTATCTTGTCGCTTGCCTAGATGGCTCCGTTCCTTTTGGGATTTCAATTGTTATTTCACGTCTCCCCACAACGCCCAGCAACAGAGGTGGGCCGTTCGACTCGGGGGACTTAACTCGTCCCCCACGCCCCGGAGAACAGAACAGAGAGAGAGAGAGAGAGAGAGAGAGAGAGAGAGAAAGAGAGAGCGAGAAAGACATTCTAGCCATGTATGTCACGGTAGGGGGAACCAGGCATGACATGTTGTCCGCGAGTTAGGTGGCCCGACATGTTTGCAGATCATGGTGTTTCTATCTCTGAGGATAATGTGGCTGCTTCCTTGTTATTGTTTGCTTCTAAATAACATGTGGGGACCACCTGAATCATGTTTCACAAAACTCAGCAACTGAACATGTCACATGCCAGGGGCAACTGAACATTGTTTGCACCTTGATCATTGCACATTGCATCGTTGAGTCCCCTACGCCCAGTGGAAGAAGAAAGATATTTTGGTTCAAGCCGTGTGTGGTTCAAAAGACCGGCGGACCGCACCGCCCCCTTTTCTCTTTCTCCTATTTTCTCCTTCTTCTCCGTTCTTTGCTACAAGGTCCACCCGGGCTCTCAACCGACATAGAGTGGCATCGGGAGAAACAGCGATGTCAACAGCCGGCTTGAGCGCGCTTTGTGTTGTGCTTCGTAGAATCGAAACATATCGAAACTTAAGATTACACGAGGCAAGCTCGCTTGGACATCAAATCGGGGTCCCCCCCACGCGTGTGGTCGGCCCGGTGGGAACAAAACTGCGGCAGTTCAAGCTAGAAATTGATGCGTGCTTTCCCCTCCTATGCCAGAACGGGAGAGATGTCTTGAGATTCAAAAAGCCTCTGCAAGTTGGTTCCCAAGCTTTCCGAACGATTGTTGTGACATGAAGAAACGCGGAGGCAGTATATGTATTATCTACTTGACAAGATTGACATAAACAGCTTCCAGAAATGCAGATTCCCTTTTCTATGACTGTTTGCACTGGTAACGGCCTCTGCCTGTCTCAGGTCTGCGAATCCTGCATCGAGCGTCGCAAGCGCGTTCCCGCCTCGGGTACAACAGTTTAGCCACTTTCGGCCGAAGACGCGAGCCAAGCTTGAAGACTCATTCGTCTTAAGACGGTGACGTCGCTTCGTGCCCCGGAGCTTCTGTCACATCAAATGTGCGTTCGTGTCTGCTAGACATGTGCATATGTTGCCGTGCTCAGGTCGGACATTATGCAGTTTGCACAGAAGGCGTCTTCAGCGACATTCATTGGATCGTGCATCTTCGAGAGTAGAATTGTGCTTGGAACTGGCGGAGGTTGCCCAAGATGTCTCGGAAGCCGGTTACAGTCGTGCCTCCGAGGCGGTTTTGGAGGCTGGGATCCCACTGCATCTCCCAAAACGTTGGGCAGGCTTCTGATGCGCGGCTGCTGGCCAAGTGCTTATCTTCCGGGCGGAGTTGGGAACACAGGCCTCCACTCAGTGACCCTCAGGAGTCGCGCAGTGGAGCAGAGTCGGCACCTCGAGATTCGAGACCCCCTGCAGGGCGGATCTACTGCGCATCTGCCCAGGTCCACTTCAGACGTTCTGGCCTTCGCCCGCAGGGCTGCGCAGGCTGTGGGATCATCCACAGCCAGGTACTCGAAGACCAAAGCAAATCAGCACGTGTTTTGAGAGCTCTGAGGTTCCAAGCGAAGATCTCTTCGTTCCGGCCCGACGTGTGCTCAGAGAAGGCGCAGAGCTTGCGGCCTTGGGCTTCCTTGCGCATTTCTGGGAGTGGGCTGTGCAAATCCAGGTGCAGGGATGCGGAAAAGCCATAGCTTGTGATGCCATGCCTTGCAAGATCTATTGTAGCCCGGCAGTACTCGAGCTGCCAAGAGCGCAAGGCTCCTCGGTTTCGGGCAGCGAGCCGGAGGTTCAGTCACTTCATTGCCCGAGTCATGCGTATCGCATGGAACCACAATCAAACGATTTTAGGAGTCCGGATTCGGGAAGCAGCAGCGACTTCAGTAGCTTCCGTAAAGAAGCGCAAGTTGTAGTTGCTGCTGAAGTCGGAGTCCATCTTTTCCCATTGGTTCCTGCTGGTCTGTGGTTGTCTAGCGTAGTACGGGAGTGGCAGTGGGAGTAGGAGAAGGTGTAGGAGTACAGTAAGAGTGAGTAGGAAAAGTAGCAGCAGAAGTGGAAGTAGTCGTCGTCGTGGTCGCCGTAATAACACTAGTTTAGTAGTAGTCGTCGTCCCCGTCATAGTAGTCGTAGCAGTAGCAGTAGTAGTAGTAGTAGTAGTAGTAGAAGAAGAAGTAGAAGTAGCAGTAGCAGTAGCAGTAGCAGTAGCAGTAGCAGTAGCAGTAGCAGTAGCAGTAGCAGGAGCAGGAGCAGGAGCTGGAGCTGGAGCTGGAGCTGGNNGCAGTAGGAGTAGTAGTAGTAGCAGTAGCAGTAGGAGTAGTAGTAGTAGTAGTAGCAGTAGTAGTAGTAGTAGTAGTAGTAGTAGTAGTAGTAGTAGTGGTAGTACCAGTAGTACTAGTAGTAGTAGTAGTAGTAGTAGTAGTAGTAGTAGTGGTAGTAGGAGGAGTAGTAGCAGCAGCATTATCGGAAATGCTGTGTTTTGCAGCTGTTTTTCGCAGTTGTTGAAATTTTGGCAAGCGTGTGTTGTTTTTTCTTCGTTTTGTTGTTTTCAACTTTGCTCATCAATTTCGCAGCCCAAATTGCTGGTATTTACAGCACTTGTCTTTCTGATGTTCTTGATTTTTTGCTGTTCTTTGAGGTCTCTATTTTCGTGCCCAAACCCTAGCGTTCAGAATGAACGTTGTTTGGTCTGATTTTGGACGTCCATTGTCTGAGTCTAGTGCATTTGAGAAGAGAGCATCCATGGCCAAAAAAACCTAATGACTTCCACCCAGCAGTCCGCACTGGCTGCATCTGTGTGCGGCCGATCCAAGCCTTTGTTACGCCTCATGTTGGACCATCGCAGCTGCCATACAACATGTTCGACATCAACATGCATGGGCGCAAGAAGAAGAAGTAGTACTAGTAGTGGTAGTAGTAGTAGTAGTAGTAGTAGTAGTAGTAGTAGTAGTGGTTGTAGTGGTTGTACCCTGGTAGTAGTAAGTACTAGTAGTAGCAGTAGCAGTAGTAGCAGTAGTAGCAGTAGTAGTAGTAGTAGTAGTAGTTGTTGTTGTAGTAGTAGTAGTTGTAGTAGTAGTAGTAGTAGTAGTAGTGATAGTAGTTGGTGTTGTA